GAGGTTGTGGAGTCTCCTTCTCTGGAGGTCTTCAAAAATCCGCCTGGATGCCACCCTGTGCCACATGCTCTGGRTGTCCCTGCTGGAGCAGGCAGGTTTGAGTAGATGATCTCTAAAAGTCCCTTCCAGCCTCAACCATTCTGTGATTCTGTGAAGTAGATAGCGGTAAATCACCATTACCAAAGCCCTAGTATGTGCAATGAAATGTTTTCTGGCCACAAACCAAGAAAAAGTGAACTTGCAACTCCATATTTAACCCTAGTGTTAATGCCTATATGGAGGCCTTTGAATACAAATATGAATTTAAAGTYAAGATAATCTTGCCTGTGGGACAGGAAAAGCAGCCAATTTGCAAGAATTCTGAGTCTTCTCTGAAGATCTGGACATTTTTAAACAGAATTTTGTAAAATACTCCTCCTACCAGTTACAGCAACAGTCGTTGACACATCACTTTCACTTAAAGCAAAATCAACAGATGGCAATGGGTAACTCTAACCTTTCCAAGGGTTTTTATGAGCCAGACTCGCTATAACATGCCATCCTGTCATTTGAAGTTTGGTAGACCTATTGATTGGAGAAAGTGGGGAAAACAATTTGTATTTGTGCATAAAGCAGTAGAAGTTATTTTACACAGAAATTTAAGCAACGATTAGTGTAATCCCAGCACTGTACTAAAACACAGTAATGCTGAATTAAACAAATACATGCCCAGACAACAAACAGATGGATTTACAGAAACACATCGGGCAATGGGATCTCATGTCCTTTCCAGTAGTAAATTAATGTTCTCGTGCACATAATTGCCAAATCAAGATTTAGAGACAAAACCCAGGAAAGCTCCAAAAGAATACAAGACAACATAAAAATCTTACAGCACACTGAATAAAATTCTCCAAAAATGCTACTCTGCAACAGAAAATGCTACAGAGAAACTGCAGCAGAACTACCAGGAGAACTCAAAGCTGAACACGCCTTTTCCTGTCTTCTATAATCTGATCTAGCACTTGCAGACATGCCACAAAAGTAAACAGGATCCCGAGGTAACTGCGTATCCAGTCGTCCTTGCTGTATTTCATGCCTCCCTTTACCAGCAGTTCTAGGCAAAAGCTGCCAGAACACAAGGATCGATGACAGTGTCATCACTGCCCCCATACACTGAAGACTCATGGCACAAAAAAGGCAGCTAATGCAATTCACAAGAAGGGTAAAAATGTCTATTTGAAGAGTGCTGGCAGCAGACATCTAAAACCACTCTAAAGTTATCTTTACCAAAAATAATCCTTTAATATATCTGAAGTTCATGCTGCAACATGAGCTCATCCCAGCTGAGTATTGAAAATGCCAAAGACTCTTAAGACCTGATTTCCAAAGTGCTTCTTTGTCAATCATTCTGGCAGCAAACTCAAGACAAGCAGGTTCAGAGCTGGCACGCTGATGTGAGAGGCAGCACCCCGTGTATTGCTACCCAGAAGCATCTCCTCCGCAGTACTAGATATGCAGTAGCCGCACTAGAAACTTCTTCAGCCCCCAGCATCTCGGAACAAATTTCAACCTTCCAATTCACTGGAATACTGGTTTGCTGTTGTGATGAAATAAGCCACTGATGTGTATGGTATAKGATAAACAAAACCATTATCTTTATTCAAGTCACTATAGAAGATTCTTAGAGGAAAACAATTTGCAGTGGGAAATTTGAATTGTTAATTAGATGAAGGAAAGTTTAAGGATGAGGTAGATGAATTCCATAGCTAACACTTGCTAGCAACCTGAGCAGGGGCCACAGAAAAGCTCAAAGGATGAAGGATAGATACAGCTTAAGGATAGTTAGATTCTTAAGTGCAATTTACAGGAACTGACTAAGCAATGAAGGAAAAAAAAACTGTAAACTTAACAGCGTAAAGGAAATTGTCCCTTGGAAAACTTTGATTTATTATAAAGTTTGAGGAGTTATAACATTAACAATCAAAGAACTATTGAAGTGCTGCATTAAACCTTATTTACACMCCACATTAAACTGTAATTAGCCTTTTCTAGTTTCAAAACTTTGAGGTGTAAGCTAATTAACTTTTCTAAAACTTATTGGATTACAATCCAGAAACCCCAACACCCCCTTTAAAAACAAAACAAAAAAAAAACCCACCACCCCAATAACAAGGAACACACACACACACACACACACACACACACACACTAAGAGAGACAGAAGATACTGACAATGTCCATGACGAGTTAAATTAACAAAAAGAGGAACACCATTCTAGTGAGCAAGGCATGGAAATGATTTCTAATTCCATTAAAACACAACTGAGTCTTGGGTTTCCCCATAACATTGCTATAAAAAGACTGCACTGTTTCTTTAGGTTCCTAGTACGGTTTCTGCCACTGAGTGAAAGATGATAGAGGAAAATAGGAGAAGGAAAAAAGGCAAGAAGAGCTCAACGATCTCTTACAAATGCACTTGCACCTCTGGAGTCCATCTCAGCTCCTTTCCTTCAGTATCATCATATGAATTTTAACACTTTTATTCCTAACCACCACTGCTGGGTTATTTACTCACTTGTACCTTTGTCCCAAAGTGTCCTATCCTCAGAGTAAGTACTTTCCCAGMCCTCTTAATATGAAGAATTTTTCAGTGCAATGTCCAGAAAGCATGTTTCAAACAAACAAACAAAAAAAAMCCTAGACACTCTGAAAAGAAGCTGCTTACAGACAGTCAAGCCATGTTCTATACCACAGTCAGTCCCAATATTCCATGCTTTTTCCTCCACTCATCCTCCTCTCCTACTCACCTTATTACTCATACYACTGTTACTTTCATTACATGTTTTTGCCACATACATTTGAACTACAAGTGGAATATTTCCCCCGCCTCCCCATTTTACAGCACTAACAATTTTCAGTCTTCRACCTTTGCTTCAAGAATCAGCATCCAATAGTACTGAAATGCCAACTTCTTTCAACTTCTCCCTGCTCTCTCTCCCACCGACTTGGGATATGCCTGCACCTCCCTTGAACCATTCRTGTCTTCCTTCCATAGTATGCAACAGCTTCTACACAACCTAGGTTGTCTGAAGACATTTCTGCAAAGCTGCATCTGCTTCTGTCTGCAGATACAACAAGAATATGTATCCTTCAGGAGGGCTCCAGTATTCCTTTGCCCACAATTAGCTCTGTCATAACTTAAACTGGAAGCCTAGACCGGGGCTGCAATCAAGACTTCACGCTTGGCTAGCGCTGATCGCACTGCGCTCAATACAATGACATCATTCAAGTTTTTTCTCTTCTCTGCTTCCCCTTTTTTAAGAAAAAAAAGTGTTTACAACTTGGCATGAATATCTTACACTGAGATTTTGAAAGGATTTAAGAAATAAAGCAATGGAAGTATAAATAAAGGAGTTTTTYGTGAAWAKKWAWGTWWKGWCMWWACWTWMMTWTTAAGAGCTCTTTTAAAAATATTCTCAAGTTCAACCTAAAAYGTAATGTGATACAGATGTATCTTCACAGAGAAGATGATACAAACCTAGCAACTGTTAAAAGAAAGAAAAACGGCAGATTTCAGAAGAACAYGCCGACTTCAAGTCCTACTCAAAGTGAAACCATGCACATGCTTCAGCATGGAAAGAACCTACTGGTCAGAGACAACAGAGGCAGCAAAGGAAAAGGGACCTATTCAGCCTGAAGTCACTAAACATGCTTAATAGAAGACAAAGTTGTTTAACAGATTTTAAAACCGACTTTCCCATCGCAGCAATTACATCACGAAGAGTCACATTTGTACCAGAAGAGGATCTTGAATTTAGTAGAGCAGTTACTTCTTTATGATCATTTTGACAGCARAACTCTGTTTCAATACAACCTCCTTAACATCCAATTGCATTGTACCTCACACAACACAAGGAGCCACAGGCCCCATTACAAACATTACAAACACAGCTCAGAACAAGGCTGGGCAGTCAATGGGCTGCTCGAGCACTTGCCCATTCTCTGGAAGACACTCCATAATAAGGTCAATACATATTTACAACAAGTATTTACACAACCTATTTAAGTCAACGTATGATTACACAATTGTTCATAATAGCTCAACAGGAGACACCATCACCTATTGTTCACATTCGCACTAACACAAAGGTTATTTTAAGACTTTAAAACATAATGCCACTTAYGTTTAATAGTTCTGTGAGAACATCAGATTTAATCTATTTTAAGGTTCGCAAAATGCCCCACCCCTAAAAAGCCCTTTAACACTGGCATTTTACTGTGCAAATCTACAAATGACTAGACAGCAAGTAAATCCTCTCCTTCAGCAGGCATTAACGTAGAAATGGAGTGAAGGGACAGTTCCAAGATCAGGCTCAGGAATCAAGATATGTTTCCTTTTCTCTTTCCAAATCCTCTACTGACCTGTGTATTTATTACATCTCTAGCTGAGAACTTTAAAATAACAAGAATCTCATTACATGAGAATTAACATACACATTTAAATTTAAACAGGAAGTATACACAGGGAATGCTCGCAAGATAGCTCAAATTGGAATTAAGAAGGGAGTGGTTCTTCTAATTAACCCATGCATATCTTCCCTTAAAATCACCATAGTATTAAGCCATTCCTTACTGCAAATCATGTGAGACTTTTTAAACAAATACAGTATTTAATCAAGAGTAACGACATTCACATGGTAACAACACTACACAGATTCTGGCCACCAGTTCCTTGCCTCTTTTTTTTTTTTTTTAAACAAGGCCAAAAACTTGGTCTCAGTTCTCTCATGCATGAAATGAAGACAACTGTGTCAGTAGGTCTGTTACTCGTGGCTTTAAGAAAAGGAAAAAAGGAGAGAAAAAAAAAAGTAGAACTCATCTGTTCACAATACTATAGTGTGACACTCTGCCATTCGAACACACTTGGCATCCATTAGGAGGCTGCTCAATCAGTGTTTCATTGAGAAGCCTAAGTCATCCCACACCTTCAGCTAAACCCATTAAAATACAGATCCTACCAGCTGGAACTCCCTGCGCCTGTCGTATGCRTGCTGGATGCCGCTGTCTGCCCACAGCGCTCTGATGGCTGGAAGGTACTGCAGGAAAACCGTGGTCTCCACCGTGCCGTGCCCCACCGTGACCGCCCGCGTATCGAAAGCCATCATGGTATCTCCGTTGCTCTGGTTGGCCGGGTCTCCCCAGGGAATATGAAGTTTCTCTCTGGCATCGACGAGGACTCTCACACCTTTAACAACAGGAAAGAACAGCACAGTTAGGATTTCCCAGCATCTACTGTTTCACTAGCCGGTACTAGTCTGTAAAGGCTTGAACAACACACTTGCTCTGCGTGCTGTCGGAGCTCAGCAGGACTAACTACGCAGCAAGAAATAATGAAATTCAGGCAAAATTGACTCAAAGCGCTATATTTTCACATAAGATCTTGAATATTTGCTATTGAAAAAACACAGTCCGGGATCAGGCATGTAACAGCCATAAGCCACTCTTGCAGAAATGCCACAGAATGAATATTATCGCMTAAAGTCCCTCACTTGTATTTTCTTTCTTTAGCTACAGTAAATATTCTCCATCATAAGCTGAACATTTTAAGCCTGTTTGTTTCTAGGTAGATAAAAACAAACACCATCATGTCAGTGCTGATAAAGCAGAGGCAGGGGAATAAAATCAAGTACCAGATTTATGAATTGCGGTGGGGGAAAATGAGCAAATATTAAGGCAWGGGAGAGGCATAAGGAACCAAGATGCACTAACAGCTGGCTCTGTAACAACACGCTTGTTCAGGACCATCAAGATCCATGAGCTTCCCATGATTTTTCCATCTGTCAAAACCAACGAGTGCACCAAAGTAACTAGAAGACATGTTGTTCTGCCATGTGTGCTTTCCAAAAGTAAAAACTACCAGACTTTATTGAGGAATAAGGTCTATTTATCAAGGAATCAGGTCTACAAAGCAGCTCGTCGCTGTTACCACCCTGTTGCCTGCAGCGTTCCCCGGCGTGGTTTGGGAAGGGCTTCCCAGGGCAGTTTTCCCTGGGAGTGCGGGGCAATGAGGGCGCGGAGCACCCGGAGAAGGGGGCGGGCGGCCCGAGCGTGTCGGAAACTCAGGCCGGGTTTAACGGGGCTGCGACACCGCCCGGCCCGGCCCGGCTGACAGCGGGGCGGCCGCCGCGCCATGTGCGCGGGCCCCCGACGGTGTCAACGGAGCTTAACGGCCGTAACGGTCAGCGGGGAGGTGGGGGGAGGGGAGGGGGCGACCCCCCTCTCATTTCCCCCCTTTTTTTCCCCTCCCTCCCCCRGCTCCCTCACGCACCCTTGATCACGTTGCTGTAGATGGTGGCGCGGAACTCCTCGCGGGCCGCGCGGTCCCAGTCCTGCCCGTGGATGATGCGCATCTGCTTGAGGAAGGTGGACTTGCCGCTCTCGCCGGCGCCCAGCAGCAGGATCTTGACGAGGCGCTTCACGTAGGTCTTCTCGCGGTTGAGGCACTTGTCGATCTCCTTGGACTTGCGCTGCTGCTCGGCCTCGCCGCTCGTGAGCAGGCAGCCCGGGAAGCAGCCCGAGAGCACGGAGCGCGACGGCAGGAAGTCCGCCATCTTAGCGAGCACTGCCAGGCAGCGCGGGGAGGGGAGGGAGGGAGGGAGCGGCCGCCCGGCGCGGCGCGCAGCAGCCCGCTCTCTGCGCGCGCATGCGCACGCGCCGCCGCCGCCGCGCCCGCCATGTGACGCCACCGCGTCACATGACGCGCTCCCCCCCTCCGCACCGCCCCCGCACGCGCGCGCTCCCCCGGCGCGGTCACGTGGCCGCGCGGCGGGCCCCGCCCCGCCCCTCACAGGAAATGGCGGGAAGGAGGCGCCTCCCGTGAGGGGGCGCGGGCGGCGCTGCCCCGCGTGGGCGCCGGGCCCCGAGCGCGGGCGGCCGCGGGGGTCGCGCGAGGGGAAAGCGGCGCCCGCACGCGCCGGGAAGCCGCCTCAGACACGGCGCCTCTTCCCGGAAGGCGACGGCGCGCGTGGCCGGGGAGCCTCGGGGTGAGGGTGCAGGATGGAGCCTGCCAACTCAGCAGGTTTTTGTTCTCGGTAGAGAAAAAAGAGGAGAATCGTTTGGTTAGAAGCCTCCGAGCAAGCCGGCGTGTACTTCCTGCGGGCTGCTCAGTGAGGAGGAGACGTGGGGATGTGACACCCAAAGGGAAGAGCTGCCTGGGGGCCACACACAGCCACAATGCTAGAAACAGAGCTTTTCATCTTCTTTCATTAAATGGGAAGCACTATAAAACATTGAGAAATTCTCCTAGTGATGCTTTGAGAGTGTCAGGGCTCAAAACCCTTTTTCACATGAGAACAAATGGTTGTTTTATACCCTCCATGTTTCATAAGCAGGAGTGAGCCACAAATGCCTGGCCAGATACCCACATGGCACTGCCCTGCCTACATGGGCCGCTGCTCACAAAGGTCCCAGCCATCATATTAAAACAATCACTACCCCCAATCATTAGTATATTTGCCCAAATCTGTACAGAAAACTCTTAGGAGCTACATATTGGTCAAACCAGTCTGCCCACTGACACACTGGTGGCTGTTTTTAGATATACGGACTCAATGYGAGTGAGACGCAAGCAGAGATCCATGAGCAATGGAGCTCAGTTGCAAATACATCTGTGTTATGCTCTTCTGACATGCATTTATAGCAGGTACCACAGAAGTTACATATACACAATGCATGTGCAATGATTAAACAGTTCTTTTGTCTCCACTTGATCTTAACTTTGCTGCCTTTACTTTTACTTCACTTTATCTTTTCCTGATTTTTCCCCTCAATGCCCTTATGCTTTTTCTTTAAAATTTTTAAGCTTATGACAAAGGAAGAGATGAGCAAGGAAACTGTGAGCTGAGCTTAGCAGGCAAAAATGTCACTTTGCCTGTTAACTACAAGGACCCTTCTACATCAAACTCTGTGATGGGTACAAATGTTCACACCTTACACAGGGATTGTTCCCACAAAGGGGATTTAAGTTATTCCACGTGATCTTTATTAAAAAAAACCATTAATCATAAGAGAGCAGGATGTGGTTGCGTAAAATCTGTACAATCRTCCAAGCAGCAGATCTTAGTGGTCTTAATACAGAAACTAAAGCCAGTAATTCTTGAGGTCTAGTCCAAGTTTTAAAACCAAGTGTTCTTGCTGGCTTGACACAGTTCCCTGAGAATCTCATCTTCAGAAATGCAGAAGACTCAAGTTTCCACAGTTCCTCTTGGATCTAAGTTGTTTTCAGTGAATTAAAAGCCTGCCAAGCTTTCTCATTGCGTGCTTCTTGTCTGCATAAGGAAGCTGTTAACAGTACTTGTGCTTTCCTTCAGAAAGTTCAGTGTTCTTCCTATAGAGAAAGGAACACTCATTGCAAGAAAAAAGATGATCAAATATTAAAACATTTTAGTGCCTCCTTTGTGAGAAACTGATTAACTCCTACCAGAGTACAGCAAAGAAATCTGGATTCAGTCATAGAAACAGATTAAGAAAATCAGTTGTGCTGCAGAAAAGATAGCGACAGCCAGTCTTGCAAAGGGGTGACAAGTGTCTTTGCTGTCCGGGCCAGGCAGCGATCCTGGAGCACAATGATAAAGAGCATGAATTAAAGAAGAGTAAAGGCCATTCTCTTGTATCACCCAATAGCAAAGCCACCTTAACCCAGGCCAGAACGGCTGTCAGGACAGCCAGGCCTCTCCTAGGGCTACCTGTGCTCCCTTTCAGCCTCTCCTCCAGTTCTCCCTRGTAGTCTCAGTTTTGTCCTTTTCCTTCCCCTTTCTCCTCTTTTCACTTCACTTTCTCTCATCCAGCCCTGCCAGTGACTTTGCTAAAGCCTCCCGCTTCTCTGGGCCCTGGCTCTCCAGCTTCCCACACCAGCTGCCCGTAACCATCATCATCATCTGCTTCCCGCTGTCCCTCTTGGCATGGGGACTGCTTCTCTCACATTTTTGCCTGGTTCTTCTCTACTYCCATTCCCCGTTTCCAAGTGCTCCTGCACCCTCCAAAACCTCCTAGCTGCACCATTCCCAGTCTCTTTCCGAAGGAAAAGGCCCTCCACATGCTACAGAGAGGGAAAGTCTGTTCCCCACTGCATTAAAACCTGCGCTGAGGAGGACGGAGTTCCCTGGGGAAGGCATTGGAGCAGGCTCAGTGTTATCCAGCTTGGCAGGGGAAGCAAAACAGCTCAGCCCTGGGTCAGGTGCAAACCCAGCTGCATCCTCTCTCCCCAGCAGCCAGGCCTCATCTACAACACAGGGTGCACAAGGTCTTTCCCCATTTTACTTTTTTCCTTAGTTTTCCTGTCTCTGGAAGGTCCAGGAGAGACAGGAAACAAGTGCTTGCTGCCCACTCCCAGCTCTTCCCACGCAGCTGCTGAGGGAAACCCCTCAGTTTCAGTGGCTGTGCCCTGCCAGATGGTTCTTTTCTGGTAAATTGCTTTGAAACCTTCCTGAAAGGAACTCCGTGCTGAACTTCAGACAGCCCTCAACACGCTCGCAGGGCCGTCCTCGCCACCTCGCTTACGTTAGCCCCTTCCTTCCCCTCGCCACCATCCCCAGCTTCCTTAGAAAGGTCGTTACTCACTGCAYGCCTTTTGTGTTGCGGACACCGCTTGTGAAGTGTGAACAAAGGGCAACCACYGTAGGAAAAGTGATCTGTAAAGAAAAGAGGGGATTCCACCTACCCTGCTTTCCACAAGAGAAAGCAAAGAGAAACATCCCCTTATCTGTGAAGGAGCCCGTTAAGAGGGAAGGTAGCGCAAGGGGGCTTCAGAAGGAGGATGGAAAGACAGAGTTGAAGGTCCCATTGGACCTTTTCCTGACCATTCAAGGGGTACTTACAACCAGGAAAGCAGCAGCCGAAGCAGCCTCTGATCAATATGGTCCCAGCAGGGCCTTGGGCAAAATTTAGCCCCTAACTCCTCCTAATTTAGAGCCCTGGGTGCCTTTCCAAGCTTATATAACCTGACCCAAACACCTTCATGAGGACAATCAGCTGTAGCTCATTAGTTAGTGGGGTAATTCACCTGAGCAACACCTGGAAAGCAACTTATGTGTGGTCTTCTCTGCATTTAGTGATTTGAATCATTTATAAATGGCARGTAGTTAAATTTACACCAGGTGTTTCTTATAAAAAAGAGACGAGGCAGCTTTATAATGGATGGAAAGGCAGTTGTAGGGTTTTTTTTAAGCTAGTCGTGGTGGCAGAAGTGCAGTATGTGAAGCGCATTGGAGCTCCTGAGCGCAGCAAGGTTTGAGAGCTCGCGCCTCGCGTTGTAGCTCTTCACAGCTACGTCACCTGCTTCTCTTGCCAGGAAATTTGTCTTTCAGAATTCATGTGCCCACGCAGTTGGTTGTTCCTAAATAAAACAGTGATATCCCTCAGTGGAACTCCTGAAGTCRGTATTTGGAGCGAAATGACCTTTTTTTTTTGTTCCTGAAAGCCCACAGGGCACATGCAGTTGGTGGTGCTGGATGCTTTATTTAGGCCAGGGTTTGCACCGCACCTCAAGTACTTCTGAGCCCTTCCACAACACAGGAAGGTGATGCAAATAGCTGTTCAGAGAAACCATTTGCAGCTTGTAGCAAGTTTTGCTGGTTTGCTTACCAAACCAAGAAAYGATGCTACCTCTTTTTGACTGATATCTACACCGATAGCATGTCCAAGAGAATTGATCTCAGAAAGAAGTAGAGCCACTTTTGGTAGCTGTCACCCTCAAAATGCCTTTGGCTTTACTGTTTTTTCCTTATTTCTTCTGATTCTACTTGGATTTCCCTCCCTCTCCCACTGTTTTCCTTCAGGACAATCCAATGCCTTGGCAATCAGCTGATGCCTTGAAGCAGGAGATACAACTGATACAATTAGCACATGGAAATACAGAGGTTAATCATAATCATTAAATTACCTGGCAGCCCAAAGCAGGGAATGCCAGAAAAGCCTTCTGGAAAGCATGTACAGCCCGTGATCCAGAGGCTGCTGTGACTCACGCGGGGGATTTCGCATGGGAATCATTCCGAGCAGGCACAGGAGAGAGGCCTCTTGTTCAGATACTGCGAAAGAGCAATGATAAAGATAAAATGCTTCCATGAGGGCAGCAAAGCAGCTGGGAAAGCAGCCTGTGCCTTCAGGCTATTGCTATGAATGGCAAAAGAGCAGCTCGGAGGCAACATCCTTTCCTGCAGCGTGCGAGCCACGGATTGTAATGTCGGAGCGGGCACAAAACACYGGGCTGGGAAGCCTTGCCCTGGAAAGGGTTCTGCATGTCTGGGAAACGTGGGCTCTCCGTATGCAACTTGGGAAGAGCYGACTGGGCGGGATGCATGCATGGCATGCACGTGCATCCATAGGATGCGAGCGTGCAGTGCRGGGAGGCGTTTTCCACCCATGCTCAGAGTGCTTTTGGGGCGGGTGCAGGTACCTGCGGGTCTGCAATGTGAGTGAAGCAGAACGTGCCCACGTGGCTGGCACCKATTCCCGCGAGTGCTGAGCGGGAGATGGGACACAGGAGCTGTCGCTGTGCCCGAGGAGCCAGCCCTGTGCTCCCCACTCTGGGCCTGCAGGCTGAGCCCTCGGGCATCACAAGGAGATGCTGGATTTGTGGAAGAAACTGGCTGGGCAGATGGAGCTCTGAGTTTCCAGTGTCACCCATCAGAGAGCGCCCACCCACCCGCTGGCTGAGGCGGGACGACTAGCACCCAGCTCTGTCACCTGCACCCAGATGTGAGCCCTACACCGACCATACCCCTTGCCCCTAGCCCTAACTGCATGCACCCAGCCCTGTCCCGATCCCTGTTCCAATTCCCGTCCCGATCCCCGTCCCCAGCCCCGCCCCGCGCTCCCCCTAGCGGCCCGGGGCGTTGGCCGCGCGCCCCCGCGCCCTCATGCAAATGAGTGCGGGGCAGCGCGCGCTGATTGGCTGCGGCGCGCGGCGCCGGCGCCGCCTGCGGCGGGCATGGGGGGCGGCAGCGGCGGCGCCCGCAGCCAGGTGCGCTCGGACGGCGCCTCCGCTCCGCTCGGTCCCGCTCGGTCCCCTTGGGTTCCCCCGGCACCATGACCGTGGCGCGGCTGGACCAGGGGCAGCGCCACCGCCCGCGGATGGCCTTCCTCAAAAAGGTGAGGGCCGAACCGCGCCGGGGCAGCCCTGCCTGCGTGGAGCAAACAGCGTTGTCCGCTCCGGTAGCTCGGTGCTGGGAGGGCTGTCGTGTTGCCGCCGGGTCCATTCCTCTGCCCTCTCTTTAGTGCCTTAAAGGCCCTAAAATGGGGCCGTAAACTGGAAGAGAAAAAGAAAAATCACCTGCTGCGTTAGGCCCCTGTCCTGCCCGGCTGCCCGGGACCCTTGGAGCGCCCAGGTGATGCTCGTTGTTCCCCAGGGATGCGGCTCTTGGCTCCCTCTTCCCGCTCCTGCCGTGTTTGTTTGTGAGCGGGAGCAGCTGAGCGAGTGGGAAGAGGCGCCCACGCGTTTGGGATGGAACGGGATGCGTAGTGTTGTAACGCCTTTGGCGTTTTTCTTTTTCTGCAATGTTCATTCAAAAAACGTAGCCAGTTCTAGCCTAACGGATGTCTGCAGAGATATTTTTTGCAGCGTTGTAAGCAAGTGTTTCTCCCAGCTGCTTTTCCTGCCTGTGGCTTGTCTTATTGAGTGGAATTAGGTGGGTTTCCAGGGGCAAGCACAGCCTTGGAAGGGGAAATGTGGGAGCTTCTCGGTCCCAAAGTGCGCACTCGGAGCTGCAGACACAGGCACCTCTTGGGCTGGAGGCAGCGAAGAGGATGGTTTTTTGGTGCCTTGTTTTTGTAGGTCGATTTGGGAGCCCTCCCAAAAGAAACACCCTGGGTCAAATCCTGCCCCGCAGGAATGCTCGCGTGGGGATGCCGAGGAGAAGCTCCTGATCCTCAGGTGGGAAGAGCTGTTAAAGCAGCTGCTTGTCCCGGAGAAAAGGGCTGGTGCTGCAAGCAGGGAGACATCTGAGCAGTTATGGGCTTTGCATGACCCAGACCTGCTTGGAAAGGAGCCTCCTGAGGAGTCAGTAGACAGTCCTGGGCTCTCAGTGTTTCCCCACCCTGTCCCGTTTTTCCCGGGCAGTGGGGAAGCCCGGGATGGAGCCTTGGCTGTTGCACTGGTGCCGTCTGCTTGGGTTTGGCTGTGTTTCCGAGAGCAGAGCGTGCCCTGAAGTCCCCGGCACCTGTGGCAGCTGCTGCGGGTGGTGGCAGCTGAYGGTGCTTGGCACAGATCCCCTTAGCACCTCATGGAATTAGATCCTCGAGGAGCTAAAATCCTGGAGAGAAGCTTTGCTAATTGGTTAAGCCTGTGCTCCAGCCTCGCCCCCGGCTGGAACAGAGGGATTTCCTGGGATGCAGCTGATCCTGTTGTCCCTCTGGAGCTGGCAGGCTGCTCCATGCACCGGCTCTTCTGCTGGCTTGTGATTTGTTCCCTTCCAAATTGCTTTGGAAAGTGTGTTTCCAAAGGAAACAGGTTCCAGGGGAACCTCCTGGACAAGATGCCCGTGTCTGTCTGGACACTTGTGTGACTGTGGTGGCTGCCCCTTTGCTTTGTAGGTTCCATTGGGATCTGCTGCTGTGGGGGAAGGTGGCACAGGGAGGGAAAAGGCGCACGTGGAAAGGAGGGGTTGTTAACGTGCAGGCCTAGAAAATGAATTATCCTTTTGAGATAGGGATACAACTTTTTATCCTCACACCTATCTGAGGAATAGGGAGGGAATATTGATCTTTGCAAACGGAATTAGGTAGTAAAGAGGAGGGGATGCAGAATGGGATAAATATTTACGATGGAGGAAGCTGCGTGAGAAGATGTTTAATTTTGGCACCAGGAGYAGGTCCCCTGTGAGGGGGAGGATGTGTCTGTGCTGTATGGAGCACAGCCCAGGAGCAGGTCCTGCCCTGTGCCCCTGCTGAGGGGGTCGAGCTGCTCGCCCCGAGTTGTGTTTGTTGTTGCACAGAGTTGTTGTGTGGTTGTTGCACGGCAGCCTCTGCACCTGGCCACTGCTGCTCCTGTGCTGGAGACAGCCGGGTAGCGCGCGGGCAGCCGGCAGCACCGGCCTGCCCCTGGCAAGGGCTCTGTGCTGGCTCTGCCCCTGCCCACGGCTCCCATGTGCTGCTGTGCAGCTTGCAGAGTGCTGCCTTTTCCCGCGGTTTGCACCTTTAGTTGTGCTTTGCGCTTAAACCCAGTGGCTTTTTGCTGTTGGAGATGGTTTTGCTCTGGTCTGTGAGGTTGCCGCTGTGCAGAGGTTGGGGCTGGTTTGCAAGGAGACCTCGGAGGTGCCTCGGAATGAGCCTAGGRCTGGGCTCTGCCAGTGCTTCTGCCACCCCTGTTCACCTCGTGCCCCTGCACCCCTGAGCACGGCAGGACGCGGCTTCTAGTTCTAATTTCACATCAAGTGATGTGAAATTCAAACCAGACGGTTTCAAACCAGATGCAGACCATCTCCCCTGGGAGATGAGCAAGAGCTGTGTTTGGATCACGGTTTGCGGCCAGAGCAGTAGGCAGCTCCCCATTCCCCGTTCATTTCTTTTAATATCAATCATTTCTTAAACGATGCAAGGGAGCCCAGCAGGATGTGGGAGTGACGACTGTCTGGAGCTCGTTGCTCGTTAGGAGAGAACATCCTGTGCTGGGAAACTCTGGTGGGTTCCCAATCACCTGGTAATGACCTGGCTGCTGAATCCAGCAGGGAATGAGGGGCTGCCCTGTCCCTGCCTCCGGACCAGGGCTGGGGGCTCCATGCAGCGAGGGCCGGCTGAAAGCCTCGTTGGACCTGGCAAGGTTTTGGTCCTAGGTCACCATGGTGCCTGTGAWAACAATATCCTTCCCTATGAGTGCCATCAAGCTGCACCCACTGTATCTACTGATCCTAGTTTAAAAAGCTGCTTCCTCTCCCGAAATGGATGTGAGGAGACAAAATTGGTCCTGTTGGAACAATTTGAACCATCTAGAAATGGAGTAGAGAAGGAAGAGCATATTCTGCAAAACCGCTGCTCTCGTGGTATCCAGCTGATAAGAAATAAGAATAAGAAATCTCTCCAGCTGAAAAGCCTGTGTGCTTCCCCACTTGTAATGCTGGTCCCTTCTGTACCCAGGCCTTGGTCTGCTGCTCAGGGGCCGGGTGGTACCTGTGGCTCCCAAGGGATGGGTTGTTCTCCCTTCCCTGGGRTCTGCACTTCTTGGGCATCTCAAGGTGGCATCTCCAAGGGGAAGGGTCTGGAGAGGAGAGCGGTCGCTTCCCTGCGAGCAGCTTYCCTGCTCCTCTGCAGAGCCCCATGAGAGGCCCTGGGGTCCCTCCTGCCTTTCTCGCTACTCTCGTACAGCCTGTCCTAACACAGCCCCTGCCTGTGTGCTCTGCAGATYGAGACCCTTATGATGGAAATGCAGAATCCGGACACGGGCGTCAAGACGCACACTCAGAGGGTGATGATCACAAACATCCCGCACGCCGTGACAGGTAGGAGCTTGTCCTGGGGAAGGGACCAGCCAACAAAGTTGTTCAAAGAACAGCTATGGGTGGCCACCCTTGGCTTCTGGGTATGCCCTGGAGCTCCTGTTTCCAATAACTGTGCCGTGTGTCCTTTGAAACATCTGCGCCCTTGATCACGTCCTCACTTGTGTCTTCTTTGCAGAAGAGATGTGAGCATTGCTGGTCACACACTCACAGCTGTCTCACCAGAGTTTGACTCCTCTAGCCTTCCTTTGCCCTACAATACAGGGGAACAGAAGCTTCAGCTGGTGCTGGATCACAAATCAAGATAAATATTAAAAAACAATTAAACTGGGCAGAATAGAATTTTTCCTTGGCATTTTCCAATAATAACCATTTTTTCCCCTCAAACAGCAGGAAATAAGCTAGACATTCAACCCGGTTCTCTGCCTCTAAATGACACTTTTTTGCCTTCTTCAAATGGGCTAAGGAAAAACCAGCCGGGTCATATCTAGTGTGAGAGGAAGCTCCTGTTGCACACAGCCCTTGTGCCTGGTAGCTCCTTTCCCAGGGCCCTGGCAATGCTCTTGGCACTTCCCTGCTCTCCAAACCCTCATGTAACCTCCTGTGAGGGATCTTGCCTTGTAAATATTCACACAGACTGCCCCAAAATCCCGTCCTGTTCTGRGCTTCCTGCAGCACTTCGATATTGTGAACAAGAACTGCCACTGAAAGCAGTGAGCTCCAGGCAACAAAGGAGAAGACTTGGCCAGATAGATTAATTCTTCCCCGTGGCATTTGCAAAGCCTTTTAGGCCCTGCACATGGTTTGGACTTTTTAATATATGTAAGGAAAGGCAGGAAGGTTAATTTACTTGCCTGTGGGCACAGCCTGAGTCAGYGCAGGGGCAAGGAGAGCTTGGATGACACCTGAAGCTCGTTGTCTGGAGCTCGTTCTGTGTGTTACCACCCAAACCAGGTAGCGGTTGTCCAACTGAAGCTGCTGGGGCATCTGCAGAGGATCTGCCCCCTCTAGTTCCTGCTGAGCAGTTAAGGCAGTGCTGCACAGAAGTTTCCCYTCTGCTCAAAACAGCATGCCAGGCAGATTAGATGAAGTGGGAACAAGTGCTTCTCTTGATGTCTGAGCACTCTGAAATACCAGTTCCTGAAAGTCAGTAGATAGATGATGTGGAGGGAAGGTACCCGTGGGTGTTTATCCTCTTCGTGTGCTCTCTACTTTGTTCTGGTTCCTCAACCACAATTGCTGGGGCTTCCCTCTTGTGTAGGTCGTTAGTTCTCATCGGCTTCTGATGAGCACRTTAGGGTCTCTTTCCTGGTCAGTCATTATCAGACTCTAGAAGATGATATTTTTAGTGCTCCCCAARTTGTATATACACCAATTAGCATCTAGGTGTGGCAGATGAGACCGATTCCTGATTAATGAGGAAACTGTGAAGRCATTAGAGCAAATCAATCGGTGGGTGTTAATCTACTGAAGAGGACTGAGCTTCTCAAATTCAGGAAGACAGGTAGGTAAATTCTGTGTGAGTAAAATGACTCACAACTGAAAAGGCAAATAACTATCCATGTTTAATGTGCACCTTTTAGGGAAAAGGCTTACAAAGAGAGCTGTCTAGAAATAAGTGATGAGATAATCCTTTAATTTCAGCTATTTCAGGAAACAGGCAGGAGGATAAAAGCTCTGAGCCCCATTAGGAGGCTAAGGCATCACTCCAGTGTCAAGAAAGGTCATCGCTTCATTTTGCAGTTGCAGGGGACGTTTGAAGGAAAGGTCTGTTGATATTGATGTGGGACTGAGTGCATGGTGTTTTTTTTTTTTTTTTGCCTGACCTTGTTTAAGTGGAAGGAGGTTCACAGTAGTAAGTTCTAGATGAAGATTACAAGACTATTGGAAGTTTATGCTGACTATGGGCGTGACTGGCTACGTCCCAACAAGTGAACTTGGAGAAATGAAATGTTTGTGAATGTAGAAATCTTGCTTTCTTTCAATATGTCCTGTTACCAATCCAAGTTGGGCTAGYGTGCTACCCTAGTCTAAGTAGATCTAAGACTTCGCTGCTGCTTCTACACTGTAAGTAGTGTCCCTTAAAGGACTGGAGAAGATCAGTCACTGGTGCCTATCTAAAGCTAAGGTAACATCGTGCTCTGTGAATGTGGAGATACTTTGCAGTGATTCTTTCCAGATATGATGGTGCAAAACGAGGACAAGGATCTTCCCTGGGAATGTGTGTTGCTGAAGCCCTTTCTAAGCCAATAACGAAGGCTTAARTGATGCTCAGGCCACACGTGGGTCTCCTCAACGCTTGCTATGAACCGCCCTGAGTTGGTTGCCTTTGCCCTGCTCCCTCTCCTGATCAGAAGTTGATGCAGACTCAGGAGAAACACCCAAAAGGCAGCATGGACAGTGGGGACATACATTTGAGGACACATGTGGAATGAGGGATCCATGCATTTGCTAGGCTGGAGAGCAGTGTTGCGATAAGGAGTGGAGGAATCCCCCTTTGGCCCATGCATTGCATGTTTCTAAGTACCTGATAATTTCCTTGCTTTGCAGGTAATGATATACTGCAGTGGATTCTCCAGCGTTTGCAGATCACTGGAGAAGGTAGGTAGAAATGTAAACAGGGAAGGCTTTGGTTTTGTAAAACTTAAAGCTCTCCACAAACAACTCCCTTAGATGTGCTCTTCTGTTCTGAGCTCACTTCTGAACTCCACTGTGGTGTTTCTGTGCAATCRCAGCATCTTTCTCCTCCGTTTCCAGAGGCACTGCACCTGGGGGACCTGTTTGTCAAGTATGGATACATCTATCCTCTGCAGGAGCCAAAGAACCTCGCCCTCAAAGCAGACAGCAGCCTGTACAGGTTCCAAGTGAGTTGCAGCTCATCTAAAGAGGTTGACTGAAGCTAGTTTGAAAATCAGACAACTAGAGCAGTTCTCCAGGAGCTGGAGTCACAAGGCTGAACTAAGTAGCTGTGCTTATCTTTTGGCATGCAGAAGAATGGAAGAGGGGTCCACAGAGCCTGAGGCCACTTTTCCCACTCTGGCACCACTTAAAAGCAAACTGGGATGCTGCCTTTGACTAAATTAGTGTTTTTATTCTACTCTAAAGACTATGTTTTCTTCTAAATGTGTTTTCCTTTCTTGGTCTTAAAAGTATCAAATGAAATCCTAGTCATAGGTGATCTCTGGGTAATATCTAAGTGTTAACTAGTACTAGGTGAGCAGTCTGAATAATGAATGSATAGAAAGCACAGTAATGGATTATGGCCAAGTTCATGCATGGACTGTTTCCCTTATGTTGAGAAATTAAGATATGCTCACAGGAACTTCCAGTGAGGAGTTTGGTTCCCCTGTGCTGCCAAGTTAGGCTGCAGCATCTCCGTGTAAATGCTCAGGCGGTGGTGAAGGGTTTAACCATTTTAGTTGGTTGCAGGGCAGAAGGGGGTTTGACACCACCAGTCTAACGAGCTGTGTTGCAATGACTGGCCCAGCTGCACCACTGYGTGTGCTTGCCCACCGGCAGGGTGTTGAGCTTCTGAGCATGGGAGAGAGAAAAGGATTCCTCCCTTTCCACTGTGGGTGCTTCCAAGTGTGAGTTCAAAGTTACTATGTGCTACCCAAGGGCTTGTGTTTTTGCAGACTCCCTATTTCTGGCCCGCACAGAGCTGGCCTGCTGATGACACAGACTATGGTAAGTGAGAGTTATTTTTGTTCAGGAGGGGCAGTTCAGTCCTGTGTCTCTGTGCACACAGTCCCATACCACGTCTGCTGTTCGTGTCTCTGTTGTGTGTCCCCATGCAGTGACCAGCATTTTCTTTTATGCTCTTTTTTAAATAATGCAGAATGGAGGGAGCACTCTGGATGTGACTGCCTTGTTGTGACCTTAATTAGATAAAAGTGTTTAAATCTCCATTTTTTTCCATCAGGACCCATCAGCCTGGAACACATCTAAGTACACTACTGAGTAGGGAAGACTTTAAACACAAGCTTAACYTTCCCTGAGTAGTTGAGTGTATTCCTGGACCTTGGCCCAAGGCTGCCTCCCTGCAGCTTGGATCAAGCCCTGCATTTAGAGCTGGTTCTTTCTTTAAACAATTTGTGGTTGCTGCAGCATCTCGTGACAGCTTTTCTATACTGATCTTTGCTGCCATTGTAATGTCTTTTATTATAGGCCTGGTCGTGARACTTGGGCCAAACAGCTTGATTTGCTCCTTCAGGCTATGCTGTGCACTTCAGATTGGTTTGTTTAYGCCAAGCTTGTCCTATGTGGCTTTTATCTACATTATGCTGTAGATCTTCTGAAGAAAAACACTTTTAGATTGGAACGTTTTGAACAAAACTTGGAACAAGACATAGGCCTGTGCTTGGAAAGCTTATAGGAAGAACACTAAAACCCTCAACATCTTAAAGATTTGGCCCAGTATCCTATGGCCCTGGAGGCCCTGGCTCGGCTCCCGGAGGAGGCTCAACTGCTGGAATAAGGGCCCACATTGCTCGTTGTGCCCTGCTCCAACCCCTGTCCCGGATCAGGGAGTGTCCATGGCAAAATGGAAGCTCCCAGTTCATCTTCAATGAGCGTCTGGTGGGACTGGAGCTCATGCCTGGGAAAATGTCTTAATTGYTATTAAGATATTAAGACCCATGTAAACACAGTCTTTGTCTATTAAGATATAAAGATATTTTTTATCTCTTCATCTCATTTAATAGACAAAGATTGTGTTTATGTGAGTTCTGGATGTGGATATTTTGGTTTAAGTGTATTTTACTGTTTTTTTTTTTTCCTTTTCTTACCCAGCAATTTACCTAGCAAAGAAGAACATAAAGAGGAAGGGGATTTTAGAAGAATATGAAAAGGTAAGGAAATGTTGTGCTTGTTCTATTGCAAGCCTCTACTTTGCTGTTTCTCTGGCCATCTGTTCCTGTAGCTGGAGTATGGCAAAGAAAATCAAATTGCAATTGYTTGAAATATTCCTCCAGGGGCCTCAAAGGCCAAAATTGTAAAAGTGAAAAAGAAACTGGTGCAGGAAGAGGATTCTGAAGTCGGGGATAATTTCAACAAGGGTAATTGTTGATAATTTCARAAAGGGTAATTGCCCTCCTCGCAGTGGTACTTTTGAAATACTGTAGTTTGTATGAATTATACTGGGAAGAAACCGGAATTTCTAGCTTAGCTGCCAGCCTGACTAGTCAAATTGTGGAGAGTCAGGAAAGCCCTAGGAGGAGAGTGCCTTGTCCAGCATTCACGTACTAACTGCTATTTTATTTTTATTTCAGGAACATTACAACATGCTCAATAAAAAAATAAACTACAAATGGGATTTTGTTATTATGCAGGCCAAAGAGCAGTATAAGTGAGTCACCTCAGTTTCTGTTATTTGCCTCACTGGGGAGGGTGTGAGGAGACGAAGCTTTGCTATCTAGATATGCACTTAAGGTACAGTTTAAAACATAGATTGCAGCTTTAAAATAGCTCGCAAGTGCCCCTCGAGACTCTAAAATAAACCTGTTTTTTGTATCAGCTTGTGGCCTCTCAGTTTAGGAGGGACATTTTGTTCATCCTACTTTTTATAAGTGAAGAAGCTTGGCTGGATGCTTCAAATTCAYGGGGAAGTTAGTGGACATGAGATGTAATTACTCCTTTAGAGACAGTCTTTTCCCTTTTTGTGGATTCCTTTCACCTTTTCTACTTCCCAGCATGGCATATTTTGCTCCTGCCATTCAAGGACTGTTTATATCTTGCCCAGGATTGTAGCCAATGGGTCAGAACACAGCTCATCAGATAACTGTCTTGTTAAGCATGAGGCTGTTGTTGTAAACTGAGGTCAGACTTAGGCTTAGGGATACCAAATACAATTTTAAAGATAGATAAGACTGTGTATAAAATAGTAGATGAAATTAGAATTAGTTGATTCAACCCAAACTTTTCTAGTGCCCGTTCTGTTTCATAGAAGAGATTGAGATGGTTGATTTTTAGCTCCTGAGAACATTCCTGGCACCATTTTGAGATCATTTTTGGATGAAAATGTCCCCCTTAACTGAGTGATGGGGATGAGGCACGTATAGAACGTATCTCTGCATGGAGGTCTCAGACACTGGTCAGCAACATCTGAGGCAAATAAACATGAGGCAGCCTGACTGACCACAAGTAAGGGACTCTTAGCATGAAACTGTACCAAAGGGCTGTCCCTCTAATCAAAAGAGGATGTGTCTGCTCCCAGCTGAGCTCAGGAAGAAGATAATTTCCCTAAGAGAGAGGAGGGAAGAGCAGTCATGTGTGGCCTTGTGAAGGACATGATTTGGAGGCTAGAATTAGATTCTGGGTGGTTGGACGTGCAGTCTGTGCAAGGAAGCCTTGCAGTCGGCCTGGGGTCTGTGCAGCAGTGAAGGCTGGGGCTCTGTCACCTTCATGGAGGGGTGAAGGTCCACAGGTGCCTCTGCTGAAATTCACTCCTCTTCTTGGCTTTGCAGGGCAGGGAAGGAGCGGAAGAAGGCGGACAGGTACGCGCTGGACTGCCAGGAGAGAGCCTACTGGCTCGTGAACCGAGTGCCTGTAAGTCAGGGCCGCTCTACGTGGTTTCAGTATCTAACTGGTGCTGCCAAGCCCTGGGGAACCAGCTGGTAGCTGAGGAACCAGCTGGCTCAGTGGCAGTAACGCAAAGGAGCTTTGGGGGCAAGTTGTGGGTAAAAACAGAGTGGGACATGCTGCACTTTCACGGTCACTCCCAGATGGAGACCGGGAGGCRACAGGAATCCTGAATCCACCCAACTTTTCTCCTTGATTGCACTCAAAATGCAAGGGAGGGAGACTTAGTTAAAGGCCTCAGTTGGGAATAGTGTGTGAGGTGGCAGCAAAGAATGAGCAGCAGCAGCCCTTCTAGGTCTGTGGTTCCCCTTGTGCTTTAATGTGTCCTATTGGCTTTAAAACAACTGAGCTACAAAGGTGTTGATATTTCTTGTTTATGACAGCCCRGCATGCAAGATGTCCTGGAGTATGGAATAGACCGAGTAACAGATCCTAACGAAAATAAGGTAAACCAGGTGAGGCTGCATTATTGTCATATCTACTGTCTTGACTTGGGAAGACCTGGATAGTAACCCCATTGCTGTGTTTTTGGGGGGCACTGGAGGCTGAGCATGTCAGCTCAGGTGCGGTGGCTGCATGGGCCAGAAGCCGAAGCTGTCTCGTTGTCCCAGGGCTGTGTCCAACAAAACAGCATTGGGCAACTTCTTTGGGCTTTAAAATACTTGATTTCAGGTAGCTTGTGTGTGCAATTACAGGACACTTTCTCTGCTGGTGAAACTGAACTRAGGAAACTTTTGCCTCCAGCTGCTTGTTGATGCTTTTTCTATTAGTGCCAAATTAACTGTGGGGTTCTGGGATATAAAGGATCCAGAGGAAAGATCCAGGTTTATAAAAAAGACCTCCAAAAGGAGAATGAGCAAGAGGAAGATGAAGTTGGGGTAGTGCATAGGGAACAAACTACATTGCATAAGRATAAATATTGTGTGTCTTCAGGCCCTGAAGAAACATTACTGACCTGAGACTGAAACCCAAGTGGGACAGATCCAGAGTCCACACTGCAACAAATGCAGTCAGTGGCTGGAGAATTGGTGCCAACCTTCCCTTTCTTCATCAGCCCTTTTAAGTGATCCTTTATTTGTGCACTTCATAACATTCACTTGGAAGCGAAGTCAAAGTGTGTTGTGGCAATTAAATGTAAATGTTACTGCGATCAAACGCCCTGTCTTCCCACAACTTCTCATTTCTGTAGCAGCCTTTAAGCATCTCAACGGGCAGAGGCTGGATAATTGCTTTGGCCAATTGTGTTCTGTTGCCATAGAGACTAAAAATGAGCAAAACGCTAGGATTGGGGGATATTTTATGTCTTTGTACTGTATCTTTTAGCTGCTGGAATGCTTCCCCCCCCCTCAGAGTGAAAATGAAAGAGTGGAGGAGAGAAAGGGAGACTGAAGAGGAGGCTGGCTTCCCGTTCTCGCCCACGGTTTTACAGCTGACATGGCAGGAGACTKGGGGTTTGCAAACTTTCTGAAAGCCTCTAGCCAACTGACAGCTGCTTGGAGCACAGATGAAGGGAGAGGATGGGTGCAATTCCCACCCTGGACACGAAAGGCCCCCTATACTTTACACTTAAGTAGAGATCCCAATGAGTGATGAGGGCCTGAGCCAAGGACACCAAGCTTGAGGTGACTTCAATGCCTTTCTCCTTTAAGTTGGTCTCTGAGCTGCCTTTCCTCTGTGGAGACCRAGCAGGAAAGGGAAGATTCTTCTTGCTGTGCTTTCTGCAAATATCCAGCAGAGCCACCCAGGCTTTCCTGCATGCTCAGGCTTTGACAGGAAGGGATCCTTGGTGTGGGACATAGGTTCTGAGAAGCTTTCCGTGTGGGCAGGCGTAGGATTAGCTTTATTTATTTACCTGCATATGACTTTTCTACATGATGACCCTTCTGGCTATAAATAACATTTAACTTTGTGTTTTCTCTTTCCCACCAGCTGTCTGTCTTGTGCAAATGTGCTGTGACCTCCTGCYTCTGAGACCCCTGTAGAAGATTAACACAACTTAACTACACGTGTGAGGTGTCTTCAAGCAGTTATGCCAACATCCACCCCTTCTCACCCCACTGCACCAGGGCTCTCCAAGACATCCATCTGGCAAAAGGGAAGAAGAAATTAGGGGCCTTTTAAAACCACCTAATGGTTTTAATCTGCTGATATTTTTCCTAAATTAAATGCCCTAACCACTCTCTAGTTTCATCAAATGGAACAGTTCAGCTGGCACTTGGTAAATCTGGAGGGGCCTGAATTGTATCTCAGGTTCCCTAAGGAGCTAATGAGCTCCTACTGGGCAGGAAATAGCTGGCCTGGAACAGAAATGAAGCTCTTGGAAGAAGGCAATTCTAGGACAGTAAATGTAATAATAAGTAGTTAATTTTTTTGGTCCTCTGAAACAATGATGACACTGTAGAAACAGGGCTTACAAGAAAGCTGCCCTGGCATCAGGCAGACCTTTAAAAGCAGGAAAGGGAACAAAGCTTTTACTCTGCGCTTGCATCCAGCAATTTTTTTCCCAGTAATTCCAAGCTAACTAGTTGATGTTTTTTGAGCCCAATTTACTTTTGCCTTGGAGTTCTGCTTACCTTCAAATACCAGTGTCAGTGCCCTGGTTTTAGTGAGCTCTGCTCTCCTGCCTTTCAGCTGCTGCTCTGTGCTAGTTGCTGCTAGTTTCTCCCAGCCAAACAGCCCACTTGAATCCTCTGTCTCCTATAGTGTGTCCCGGGAGACTTTGCATCAACAGGGAGGCTGTAGGTCTATGGCTGATGGTCCTACTGTTGTCTGAGATCCTTGTGCTTCCCTTGATATATCAGCCCTTAAATCCTCTCTGTTCCATGTGTGTGGCCTGCAGAGCATCTCTGCAGTGTTTGCTTGCTTTCCTGGTTGTCCCTGCTGAGATGACATGCACTGCAGTCATTCCAAGACACTTATGGCACTTCCATCAGCAGGAAAAAAACAAAACAAAGCTCCCTACTCCTGCAATCCCACAACAGGGATCTCTTCGTGCTGTACTGGCTAGGCTAGGCTTGTGTGAAGATCAGATGGGCTGACTCTGTGTTAGGCAACACATCAGCCAATCTATAGAGCCCTATCTGGCTCCTGCTGCTGAAATGGTGAGTGCATCTTCTCAAAGCCAGCTGCCTTTCAGCTACATGTGGGTATCTCTCACACGTCAAACAACCCCTTCCAGAGTGGGACTAGCAATAGGATTAAAAGGCAGATGTGTCCCCACCAYGGTCCCGTGGCAGAGCAGCGCGGGAGAGCCCGGCTGTGTCCAGAGGGCAGCTCTGCAGCTGGATCCTGTCGCTGCATTCTGGATCTTGGCTTCCTGGGGCGCCCTGCAGACCTGAGGCTGCCTGGGTTAATTAGGATCATTGTGGGCTGCAGATTAGCTGCGTGGCTAAACCAGGAGATGCAGAACTGCATAAGCCTTTAAGGGCTTGTGAGAACATCCCCCCCTTGGCCTCTCTTCCCCTCTCCCTCCTTGATTTTTTTGCCCTAAGTAACTGTGTTTCAAAGGAAGCTGTGTGAATAAACACCCTGCAGTTAACTTCTCGCCTTCAACGGCGTGCTCATTCATAGATGACATATAACGTAGTCTAAATTATTCAAATCACCACGTAAGCACAGCAGCTACTGCTCCTGAGGCTTTTAATTGTGGTGTTTATATTTTGCAATGTGTTGGTTCCTGTCTCCTTTAGCTAATATTGAATGATCTAATCTGTGTCTTGTAAACGAATCTATTTAGCTCCATTAGAATAACCCTTTAATTGAAGGCATACAGGCAGGCTGCGATGGAAGAGGCAGTGCTAAACAGTAAATACAGCTAATGGAACCATTTACAGAATGTGGGTGCTTTTAGCTTTGATGATACCCTGATTAGTTGAKCTTGCTGTGTTTGATTTTATTTGTAATGACAATTAATTAGAGAAGACTGCACACAGACCTGCAATGGTGCTTAATTTCTCAGAGAAAATGTAGGCAAAAGCACCTACTCCAACTTAATGATATTTGTTTCTTTATTTTACAGAAAAAAACCATGGATGTTTATAGGAGAGAGGTAACTGGTCCTTCCCTTCATTTAGCTCATTAGATCTAAAGTAGTGGGAGAAATGCATCCAATGGCACCAGTATAGAGACAACCAAGGATTGATGATATTTGCATGCTAAATCTTCCAGAGCACTTATATGTAGCTAGAAGTGTGATGTGGGGAGGGAAGCAGTGGGGTTGCCCTTGTGCAGTTATGCAGCATGAGGAGCTCGTGTTAATTGTTTGCACACTGTAAAATGCTCTTCTGATGTTTGACTTRACTTTAATGAAAATACCTGTGTGGCCGGGATAATATAGAGATTCTGTGATCTTTTGGGCGTCCARTAATTAGGGAGGGAGCAGCCTCGTTAGCCTGACCCGCTGGGAGAGACTGAGGTTCAGGTAGAGATGGCGATGTTCTCTCACTTCCATGCTCCTAACTGGTCACATCTGGTCCCTCTCAGATCATGTACTATCAGCAGGCCATCATGAAGACCAGAGTGAAATCRTCCGTCTCCCTGGGAGGGTAAGTGCTGACTTCTGTCTGTCCGCGTGTTAATTAGCCCTCGGTGCTCCTCTTAATGAGATGATTGAGCTCCGCCTTGCGGGAGGTGGTGGCTCACTCATGGGAATGGCTGCGGTGGCCACGTGCGGTGGTTCCATGCTGGCTCTCCAGGCTGCGTGGTCCCTGGCCAGGAGGTGTAATGCAGAGGAGGGGACAGAGTCCCAGCTACAGCAGAGAGGCTTCCTTAGAGCCAAGGAGAGCTTTCCTGTGGATGTTCATGGAGCAGCATCGCCGCCTTGGTTGAAATTCCCTTTGAAATCACAAGGCGTTTTAGCTGATCACGGTTTGGGATCTAACACATCCTGGAGTCTGGAGCAGCAGCTCTCATTGTGGGGCCATGGTGCTAGGACACAGCAACGTGTCCATCTCCTGCCTGTGCTGGACAGATAGCGAGACAGGCTCATCCTCCTGGTCTGAGCTAAATAGGGTGCTCCAGCCTCTTAGCTGGGATAATTCAGCTGAGGGAAGATGGCTGTGGATGAATGAAATGGGTGGAAGAATTGGGGAAGCAGCACTCCTTGTGGTGAGGATGACAGCTTGAGATGCCCCCAATTCTGCTCACAGGTCCCTTAAAACTCCTCACCTCAGTTTCCCAGAAGAGTTGGAGCAGGGGAGACTTGRCTGCATCCATGAATTTTGCGATGTTTAACTGTCTGGCTATGGGGCTTTTCATATATTGGCTCTTGTCTTGCTAATATGTAGTACCCAATTTCTAGATCCAAAAAATATTTGTCTGTCTCGGCTGGGGGTTTGAGTCCAGATCTAATTATTATTGATTAGGGTAGGATCAGCAACTCGATGGTGTGCATGCATCAGAGCGTTGCATTGATTTAGGAGGAGCTGCAAAGCTCTAATCATTAAAAGGACAGAGCGGTGTTGCCTGAGCTGACAGATTTGTAGCATGATTAGAATATGGATTGGAGGAAATTATGCAGGTRCTGAACGCCTTGGCATTTCCACTGGGAAGATAGGCTAGAGCAGGTCTATGCCAAGCCTGTGGAATGCTTCGTGCAGGAGCACTGTCCAACTGCAGGGATTCTGCCAAGATGCCCGATAGCAGYGAGCCCTTGGACACGACTCCCAGCTTCGTATGCACTAAGCTGTTTGGCCTGGGATGAATTTTAAGTGGAGAAAACAGATTCCCCCCTGCTAAGAATGAACAAAGGAGGTGAAAGCTAAAATTCCAGCACACTGGTGAAATTGGCTGTAATTACTAGTCTGGCCAGCTCGGAAGGTGCAGCAGAGGTGTTTGTGGTTGCTGCTCGAGAGGAGATTTTCATTTCCTGCCAAACCCTCCTCGACTCCGCTGCGGAGCAACGAGCTGCACGGTGGGTACGTGGAGGAAAGGAGAGGCCAAGGCTCCTCCGTGCTGCTCTGCCTCTCCTGGGTTTTCCCAGGGTTTCCCGGGCTCTCCCAACCCCGGGGAAAGCCTATGGAGGACCCAATCCCATTCCATACAGTATTTGCTTCCCTTCTCTCTCAGCCATTGAGCTGCCAAAATGACCACTTTAAAAGATAACCGCGAGACTGCTGTTTGATGGCAAATGGGAGGGAAAAATGAACTCTGCTATTTAATCAGTCCATGTAATGATTTATTTGGGTTTATAATGGGGCTGACCACAATCCTGCTTGCAAATGAATACTTTGATTTTTGTTGGATTTATTTGTAGGCTTGTGAAGTACTGTGAGCAGTTCCTCTCCAATGACCCTTTGCTGTCTGGATGTCTCCCCAGCAACCCCTGGATAACCGATGATCCCGAGTTCTGGGACCTCAATGCGAAGCTGTATGTATTTTTATTCTCTCTCCTTGTGTTTTACCCTTGACTTTATGCTGATAGAAATGAGAAAGGGGAAGTACAGATCTCACCACGATACCCAGCTGCTGATCACGAGTCAGGAAGCATTCCCCTTTTGGCATGGCTTGTCCATGCCAAGGAAATGCTGGATTTACAGCATTGTCCCCTTCSTCTTGAAGTGGAGCTTTCCTTAATATTATGGAAATTCACAAGCTGATTGTGGGATTACACACTTGGCAGCTGCTGAGTGGGCCTGATCCTTACCTTGGATGAGTGTAGTTGGCCCTTCCTGACACAGGGATAGGATATGACCAGTAATACCAGAGYGTAGCTGCTTGGCTTAGCTTTAGCCTTATTAATTCATGCACTGCTGATGGTATAGCAGTGCAGAGCTGGTCCTTGTACACAGCTCCCCAAAGAAYGTACCCAGAGGTGAGATTCAGATGTGTATTGACTGCCCATGCCCTCTGTGAGGTCTCCCTCGGGCCTCTGTTTGGATATATGTTATCTATACAATGGCACCTCTGGGACTAATGTGTACAGGCTATTACTGACTGTCACGTGAGTCAGTGATAGTGTCCTGCCAGACAGCCCTGAGGGGTATCACCAGCACAGAGCGCGTTTAGGAGAAGCTAAGCCCAGGCCTACAACCACTGCTGCCTTCAGGACGGTGCTGAGTCAGACCTGCAAAGCTGGCGAGCGTAGCAAGAGCAGTGCAGGCACAGGGTAAACCTTGATCTCACCGTGCACCAAGTTGTTTAATCACCACTTATGTAGTGCACTGACCTGAGGAGCTCATGACAGCATCTGGGAAACAACACAGAGATCTCCTGGCCTTCTGCTAGAGGGCATTCAGCTTGTAATGAACATGTCAGTTAGATGGTCCGTGTGAAACCAGCAGTGCTGTTTGTGTCAAACCTCTGCAGAGTGGAAATCCCCACCAGAATGCGCGTGGAGCGATGGGCCCTCAACTTCAGCGAGCTGATAAGAGACCCCAAAGGTCGGCAGAACTTCCAGCTCTTCCTGAAGAAGGAGTTCAGCGGTGAGTCCGTGTGTCACTTCCCTCTGCCTAGGAGGCACTGAAGGACACTGCACAGCTCAGAGCGGCAGTGCAGAAGCCACAGCTCTGCAATAGGTACCGGGGGCTGTGACGATGACAAGGCCACAAMGCAAAGCGAGCGGAGTGATTTGGAGGCGCTGGCTGTGCAGGCAGTGCCTGCAATACCACCTAGTGGCACAGRGCACAAAATACAGCAGCTGGGCACTGCACAGGGAGCACTCCCACCRAGCTGCATCTGTGACTGGATTTATGCCCTTGGCAGGTGTCACTTGCCCCTGAGCAGAGAGCAGCAGAAGGCTGTTCCTTCCTTCAGTCCCAAGGAGATCTTCAGGGTCAGTTTGACAATTGGAGGTGCTCGAGATTGGAGCCAGCTCACACCAAATCAAACAAATTCAGCTTAGGAGCTAATAAATGCAAAGCAGTTTTCCTCAGTCTCACCCTCTGCTAACTGAATCCTTGTTGTGCAGGAGAGAATTTGAGTTTCTGGGAAGCCTGTGAGGATCTCAAGTATGGAGACCAATCCAAAGTCAAAGAAAAAGCAGAAGAAATTTACCAGTGAGTATGAAAATCTTTAATTATTAAACTCATTATAGCAAGCCCCATTGAGGTCCTCTGTACCTCAGCACTCCCCAGATAACTTATTCTTGATTTTTTTTCTTTGTAAACTGCAAAGTGTGGGTTGTGCTATGTCTCCATGTAGTAAAGAAACATTTTGAAGATGAAAGCAAAACACTTTTGTTATATAAACTATTTAATTATTTTTTCTACTATTGCACTTAAATTTTGTAAAGGAGAGGACTTAGATTGTAGTTTAAATATCAGAGTGGAATAGCAAAGATCTGGGGACTGCCACAGGCAAACTATAAGTGGATAAATACAGGTAATTTATGGAATCGTTCATATATCATTGGGATCTACCTTGGGACAAGATTACTGAAGAGCAGCTAATACCTCACATCAACTTCGAGTGTGAGAAGTCTAAGAACTATCCTCTGCCCAAGCTTCCTACAGATGAGAAAATTATCAGTTTATGGAGGTAATGTCCTTTGGGATCTTCAGAGCAGGCACTGTATGAAGGCACTAGCGAGGCCCGTTTGGCCTCCAGTGGGCCAGAACATGGTTTATATGCTGCAGAAAGAAGTGACTGCATGTCATGGACAGCCCTCGGGTGTGGTGGCCAGTCCTAGCTGGGAGTTGAAGGGACTGCTTGTTTGTCCCATAGACAGAAGAGTCTCTGGGAGTTCTCCCTTTAACTGTAGTATCATTTCCTCTTGTTGTAGACTCTTCCTGGCTCCAGGAGCGAGGCGCTGGATCAACATCGATGGCACCACAATGGGCATCACTGTGAGAGGTCTCAAGCACCCTCATCGTTACGTGTTAGATGCTGCTCAGACCCATATTTACATGCTGATGAAAAAGGTCTGTTTGTTCCCAAAGCCTTAGGGGGATTCCATGTTCTTGGGGCCTTCCCAGGGCTGTGTGGGCTCTCAAACAAAGGCCACTTGCAAGTAACACTGAAAGTCCCTGAAATTCGCTGACTTAAGCAAGCTCTGGTTCAGGCCTTTGTACTTTGTTGCTTCTCCTTCCAGCTTCTCCTCACCAGCATGCCCCAAGGTAACGAAGTTTAGTTGTGTGCTCAAAGTCCTGCCTTCTTAATACCAGCTGGGTCACCAGCTTATTCATGGCTTGAACAAATCTTATAATTTCCTGCATGTAAAACTGAGATGTTGCTGTTTTCTTACCCCAAGGATTGGTCGGAGACAAACTCAGTGTTCACGCAGCACCTGAAAGTGTGTTATATATTGATAGTATCAATGTTTGGGTTTCTTTTTTTTTTGCATAGCAGCAGCTGTGCTCTCCCCCAACAGTGTCCTTTATTCATTCTAAGTACCAGTCTGAATGCCACGTGCAGTATCCTTGTGGTGGGATGCTTGTTGCACAACTGCCTTTTAGCAGTGGTTGGGAAAATTCGTAGAAACTGCTGTAACTGAAAGACTTCTATACCAAGAACAGAACAGGATATGGCTCCTGTCTTAAAATACTCAGTAAAACTTATTTCTCACAGTTTGCTGTGGTTATGTTGATGGACCTTTTTAGGTCTGACTGGTGCAGTCATGGTTACCTGGGGACTGATATTTTTGGCCAGCAATGTCATGGCTTTCATTAGATCATCAGATCATAAATAACTTGTGGATCCTCCTTATGAGATATAAGATACACTTAGGAAGGAGCAGTGTGGGCCAGAGGAGCAGCTGGTGACACCGAAAGCAAAAAAACTGTTCTGATTTGAGCCATTTGTGAAAAGTTCTGCTCCTGAAATGTAAGCCCTTCACCCTGCAGTGACATTGAGGCCTCTGGTCTGGACTTGCCTGAGTCGAGACCTTTGGGCTTGGGTCTTTCCTGGGAAGCTTTATCATGAGATTAAGGAATTAAGAAATGTGCATTAGGATTGCGTTAGTTTCTTGGAACTGGGTAGTCTCACCCAGCAGCCCCAGCCTCCCTGGCTCCGGAGCAGCTCTCCTTGGTGATGATTTTAATAAAGGTGTTTGCAACCTGTGACTACCCCTTTTTCCCTTTTCTCCTAGTAGGACTCCTATGGCCGCTATTTAAAGTCTCCAATATACAAGGAAATGCTGGCCAAGGCCATTGTGCCTCAAGAGACGGTCAAAAAAAGGCAAGTGAAATGGCATGTAATTGTAGCAAGGGGGAAAACAGCTTAAGCTGCAGCAGAGCTGCTAAGATTTAGATGTCGGGTAAAACAGATTTTTCATTAAGAAGATGCTTTGAGACAGATTACACTGTTTATAAGCCTGTTGAAACTGACTTGACTATAGCCAGAGTACTTGGCAATTGCCTACCTTGGTCTGTGAGTTTTTTTAAATTAATTAATTAATGATTGCTCCTTTCCTGAGAAGAATAAGAGCAGTGTTTTTGGTGAGTATGGGAGAACCTTCCACCATGAAACGTCGGCTTCCAGACTAGAGCCACTGCAGTGTTCTCCATCTATTCTACTCAGCTCTGCCTGGACAAAGCTGTTCACCCCCTGGGAAGTGATGGTGAAAAGCAGCCAAATTGGAACAAACAGTATCTTGCATGTGAGTGACTGCTGGCACAAGGTAGAAGGCCTGAAAAGGAACAGGCTTGAAAGGGCTTTTTCCAGACTAAGATGAGGCCTGCATAGCAAATTTGGGCCATTTGAGCTGCAGTCGCTTCATAAAGCCGAAGGTGCAGTGTCAGAGCCAAGCTGGGTGGAGCACTTCTCTCTGTTCCTCTTCCACTTTTTTTAACCTCACGAGCAGGAAAGAGGAATCGTGGACTTTGACACTTTGGCTTCATCCACTTCAAGTCAGTGGAAAAAATAAACCTGCCCGTGACTTGCCAGGGGCTTGGCTAGTTTTCCCCTGAGCTGCACATCGCAAGGGTGCTGTCAGATGGTGGCTGTTCCCTGGTGACTTCCTTCGTGATTGGGGTGTCTCTCCTGGGAATACAGTACTCACCATCGTGCTTAGGGTAAAGCTCTTGTACTTCATCCAACCTTAACACTTGTTTTCACCGCTGCTGGGGGGATTTTCCTGGAGTGGCAGCRGGAATTCTTTTGGATCTGGCAGAGATCAGATCCCCACCCATCGTAGCCCCTGTCTTGAGCTTGCTTGAGGGCACCACGAATAAAAGATTCCTCTGTTAACAGATGATCAGGCTCACATTGAGTGCCTACAAATGCAGGCAACAAAGCGGGGAGTCCCTAGGGTCCCAGCACAAGGCTGGATTTTGCTCTTTTAGCAGTTCAGCATGACAGAGTCCTGCTTTAAACCACCTAGTCTGTACTTATGCTTCCCTGCAAGTACAGTACCAATGGTGGTAGGTTCATCTCTATCTGAGCATGCCCTTCCACTAATGGGCTGCTGCGGGTCTCACTAGCCCTGTTTCAGGGGGTCAGTTTTGAAACACTGAGCAAAGTCAGCCAAAATGCCAAGTTACAGCTCTGTATTTCATGTGTACGGTGCCTTTCTCCACCCAGGGCAGGGTTTAGCAGGTGCTGAGCCATGTGCCATCCCCATGCACAGCCTCAGGGATTTAACTGGACAGGATGTTTTTCTCATTGATGATTCTGCTCTGCCTGGGCCCATCTGGATGCTTGGGCATTTCGGGACATCCTCGTCGCTTTGGGAGCGACAGTGCAAGGCTCTGATGCCCTCCTGCCCCTCGGTAACTYGCTGCTTCTCTCTCCCTCCCTGCCCAGCTCCAGTTTCCTCTTTGGACGGCGCCACCTCCGCTCCAGCCCTAGCCCCATCATCCTGAGGAAGCTGGAGGAAGAGGCCAAAGCCAGAGAAGCCGCCACCACTGTGGACATCACGCAGGTTATGAGCAAGCTGGACCGCAGGAGCCAGCTCAAGAAGGACCCTCCCAAGTAGGCTCTGAGCCCCGCGGGGCGCAGCCCGGGGGAAAGACAAGCTGAGGCTGCTTGAGCTTCGTCTCCCCTTCCTGAAGGTGTCAGTGCTGCTTTACGTTTGCCCGGCCCGCTCTGCCAGCAGCCCCGCTCGCTGCCTGTCACTGCTCCCTGCAGCAGCACGTGCTGCTTCCCGGGCATGGAAGTGCTGCTGGAGACTTGCTGCTGGCTGGGCAGGAGCCTTGGTGCCACCAGCTCCTCTCCTGCACACTCCCAAGGGGGTGTTTTCCAGCAGCCCTGGGCCCCCGGGATGGCCGGGCATCTCTCTGCCTCTCGCTCTGCTGCTGGCAGCCTGGGATGGCACGAGGCAGGATACAGCCCTGCTCCTGCTGCTGCCCAAGTCCTTGGGGTGGAAACTGGCTTTATCCAGAGCAGAGCTGGGGCTCCCGCTGGGAGCAGAGTGCGACTGCCCACCTTGGAATGTGATGGTGTGGGTGCTTGTCCTCTAATGCATGTGGAAGAGCCACGGACACCTGCAGGGCAGACTTCCCATGAGGTCAACATGATGAGGGCTCCCAAAGGTTTAGGTGACCCTCCTTTTTAATGACAGTCCCAAGTCCCCTGTTCCATGTGGAGGTAATGAGTGAAAGCATGAGGATTCTCCCTGTTACCCTTCCTCATGACGACCTGGTGTGCAGGCTTGGAGAGCAGGCTCTTGCAAGAGCTTGCAGGAGGGCTTCAGGGATGCAGCCAAGGCTTTGTGTTTCTTTTATCAAATCCTTTCTGACTCATCTTGTCTTTTTCCTGCTCTTCTGTTTTGTGTTGCTTAAAAAATAACATAATGTAGTTCCAGTTGCCACTGGTTTGTAGCCCAGGGGCAAGGAAGAACCAGGATGGAGGCATTAATAGCTGATTTCAGCTTTAAGTAGTGGTTTTTCTCCTTTACTCTTTAGAATGAGGAAACCTAAACAAGTCGTTTAGTGCTAAAGAACTTGGGGAGATCCCAGGCTTTGCTGGGAAGCCCCTGTGTGTCTGTACCAAGCTCGCCATTACCAGAAGTGAGAAGATTCCCACAAAGCCCGATAAAAGGAGTGGGGAGGCAGAAAAGCTTCCTTATTCAAGAGAATTTAGAGGAAGCAGAGGGACTGGGTGGGAAATGCCAAGGGCAGGAAACCTGTTGAGTCCTKCTATTGGTGTTTTGTCCCTCATTCCTACTGGGTTGATTTTGCAGCAAGTGGGAGGTGCAGAAAGCTGGATGCTTGGGAACTGTTGAGTATCAGGGTGTTGAGCACCAGCCTCTCACTAACATGGAAATAACTGAGCAATAGGTAGGTCCCTCACAGCAGTTCGCGCCCTCCCTGCGCATATTAGTCCTGATTCTGTGTCTGATAGCTGGTCTGAGCTGGTGTYGCTGTAAAACTAGTCTCCTTTTATAGCTGAGTTAAGGTGACTTCTGTAACCTCTTTTAACCTCATGGTGATAAATCTTCTTAGAGGAACTGAAACCACATTGTATGGGGTTTTGGCTTGGATGCCAAGGCCTGCTTGCTCTGTCCCTGCCCGTGTTCCCAATGGAAGCAATGGCAAATTTTTGCAATGCCATAAAGGGAAGCAGGCTCAGACTGTAAAATTTCTTATTTTTGCTTGCAACTGGAAGACTGACTTAYGTGACGTACTGAGCACCATCAACCTGAGCTGAGGGCTCTGAAGGACACAAGGGAGCTTGGCAAGGCTGGCCCAAAGCTTTTGGCTGGGAGGAGCTGCACCATCTCCTCAGGATTTGTATAGGAGGGAGCACTGGGCAGGCTGGGTTGCTAGGGTGTAATAACACATGCAAGATCAAGGCAGGATATAAATAGCAAATAACCTGCGTGTTCCAGCCAATTGCTCCAATTCCACTTCTGTTTTTTGTTGTTATTTCTATCCACTTCCCTCTCCCCCCCTTTTTTTTTTCCTATCATCTCAGCTTTGCACAGTTGTCCTGTTTACAGGGGTTAATGCTGCACGCTCTGTGCTTGTGAAAGATGAGGCCTGCCCTTGCAGGCAGAGGCTGGCTCTGTTGTGCTTATAGGCTGAACAAGCTGGTGTGACCCAACGTGCCGGCTCCGGCTGCTCCTTCCCCCTGAGGAGGAAGGCTGCATGGCACAAAGTGTGACCACGGTACAAACTGAACCGAACTTTGGGTCAGCCACGAAATGGCTTGTTTCCATTGGAAATCAGAGCAATATGTTGTTTCAGTTCTTGGCCATCGCTTCCATGCATTCATCTGTCTAATAAAAATAAATGGAGAAAATGGAGAAAAAAGAACGGCGTTTCTCCTTTGTGCTGTCTCAGTGCGTTCATCCTTCAAAGTGTCATCTCTTCACCATGCACACATGTATTTTTTCTCTGGGCTTTTATGGATAGGGGTTCACTTCTTTTCTGCTCGTTCATCCCTGGGCTGGTTCATTCCTTGAACCTGGAAATTCCTTGATTTCCTGCTGGTTCATTCCTTGGGGGAAAGACCCAGCTGTGCACCACGCACTTTGCCCTGAATCTGTACTCCAGCTTGTCAAGTGGGTTTGTCCTCTTCTTTAACCACCACAGCCCCTATTTCCCCTGTTCGCCCCGCTGCCCGGCCCTGCCCCACGCTCATTCCATGGGCTGTAGGGCTCAACCTGCAAGGCAGGCGCTCCAGGACCCGGAGGAGATGGTGGCCACCTGGGTCGGCTCTCCCTGCTGCCACTGGCGCCATGAGCTCCTGCCTTGGCACTCGCACTGGTGTTGGTGCTYGCTCCCATGCCCTGGTTGGGATATTGAGCTCCTGGGAGCAGGAGGAGATGCGGAGGTGGCAGCAGGGCAGGAGCATCCTCAAAACCACCCTGCTCTTGGCGCAGGTTGCTAGAGAAGGGCAATTTCTGTCTAGAGAGCTCTTGAAACCGAGCCCTAGCCTCGCTGCTCGCCTGGAGGGCTGCGGCACTTGCCTCCTTTCCAACCCATGTGGGCTCGTGCTGGGGCGCTTTGCCTGGAGACCTGGGGTTGGACAGCAGCAAGCTCAAAGCCAGGCTCCGTGCTGTGCCTTTGCTGTCTCGGAGAACACTTCAAAAAGTGCCTGTCGCCTCGTGAGTTCCTATCTCGCAATGCGGCTTCTTCCAGATGAAAATGGACATTTCCTTGGAGAGAGGGATCCACCCTGTGGACTCCGAGGAGGCAGAGGAGAGCTGCCGCCGAGCCCACGAGGACTCGGCCAAGGAGGTCCATCTGCCCTTGGGAGAGCCCTGCCAAAGGAGGGAGAGCAGGGTAGCAAGCAGCCCTGCCGGGTTCACCACGGGAACCATGCTGATAAAGTAGTGCATTAGAGACATCCTTCAGCATCAGGGAAGCTCAGACGACCRCAGTTATGAATAATGGACCCTGATGTACCCATCTGTTTGTAATTTAGGATTTTGAAGCATTTTTGACTTGTTTTCCTTCCTATCTTTGTATAGTCACATCCRTTCATTGCAAACTTCTTGATAAACGAACTGCCTTTCTTGCCTTATACCAGATGCAGAATATACACATACATGCATTTATATATATAAAAATACACACATATACATACACGTACACATACAGATATATCTACTGGGAAATAAAATAGTGTCTTATCAGACTTGCTTGCATGGCCATGAGGTATCAGCACTCTGTACATAACACAGCTGGAACGGAGCTTGCAGGCGTTTTTCAGAGCAGGACTCAGAGTTTGAGCAGTGCCAAGACCGGGCCTTGTTAGGTTTCCAGCTTGGGTCCACCCYGATTGTTATTAAGAATTCTTAATTTTAAAGCAATTTCACTAAGGGACAGCTGATTGCAGACAGAATAGATTGAACACTTCATGAGAAGCCCTGTGCCATATGGCAAGACATCCTTGATCAAAACCAAAAACGATCCCAAAGAGCTACAGGAGAACAGGAGAGACTCTGGAGCACTTCTGTATTAGTTCCAGTGTCTTTTGGTGGCTTCTCAGCACCCTGAATTGAACTGCATCCCTGCAAGACCTGGGAACATCACATGCAAATCGGTTGGTTGTTTGGGCCACTCCAAACTTAGACTGATGCATTGCACCATCTTAACTGCATTGCCATGTCCCAGAGTGCTTTCCACCCCATGGCCTGATAAAGTTCTCCACAAGATGCTCTGGCACTACTGTTATTTCTTATGAACTTTGTCACAGGTGCTATAAAACCTCCATTTATCATGAGAAGCTGTCCCTATCCACATGCAGGTAACTTGACACAGGGATGAAGGAGCACTTTGAAGAAYCCCTTAGGAAAGAGATCGTGTCCATGATGACCCTATGACCCCATGATGAACATTCCTGGCAGTGAAGAGGCGTGGTGGGATTTGCAGGGATATCGCTGAGTTTTTCCTTGGTGCACTGGGCTGCAGATAAGCCGGGTTTTATTTCCAGACACAGTTTGCGGTTGCTCGGTGAAGCTGACGCTCTCCAGATGCTGCTTGTGCTAGAACAAGGTGGCAGGTACGACTTGGGGCATGACGGCAGGACTTGGTAGCATCCTGGCCTCATGCCCCTCTCCCAAGGTAGGATTTTAGTGCCACCATGGGGCTCTAACATCACCAGTGCTGAGTAGTTTGGCTCCAGAAATAGGTCTGAACACGCCTGACACTGCACGTCCCCACGGTGAGCACCAAGGGGGACCATCCCCTAGCCCTGCCTTCTTCCCTCTTGCCCCATTCTCCACAGGTTACCCATGGCGCCGGTGTCTCTCTTCCCTCATTCCGTGCTTGCGGACACCGCAGCGGCCCCGCATCCCTCCCGCGGCCGGCTCAGCACGCGTGGTGATAGCTGAGGCCTTCGCCCCGTGGGACGCCACGCGCGTCGCAGTCGGCGGCGCTTTCAGCTCCGGCGGCTCCGATCCCRTCTCTTGGAAGCCTTGGAAGCCGCCGGGAGTCCCTGGGAAGAACGAGCTCTCCGCAGCCGCCCGGACATCCCCAGCCCTGTGGGCAGGTTCACAGAGAAACTCCCCTCTGCTCGGTTGGCAGAAGAAAAATCGGCGGCTCCGGCGGCTCTAGAGGCAGCGGGAAGCCCCACTCCGAGCTCCGAGCCCGGTGGCGGTGCCGCGGGGCCGGCCCACGCAGCCACCCATGGCCGCAAGGAGCAGGAGAGGACRCCTGAGGAGAGGATGTTTGAGGAGAGGGCCTGAGTGGCCACGAGGCGGGAGCTGCAGTGGGTAGACCTGAGGTCTGCTGCGAAGAGTACACCCCACTCGGGGTGCCCCATCTGGGGGTGTTCTCCTGGCACCCCAGGGTGTCTTGGCACGTGTCTGTGAGGCCAGGGAGCCATGCTGAGCGCATGGTCCCGGCTGCCTCAGCCAGCCACCTCAAGGGGACACTGTTGGGACAGGATGGCAGCAGGTCCCACGTCYTTGCAGGCCCTCGGCTGGAGCTGGAGCCTGCGGGGGCTAAGGCTGCTCCCTCATGCAGGCCGGGGCTGCCTTGGGCCAGGCACAGCACAGCTCCAGGTCCAGGCCCACCAGTTCTGGGGCATGGCCACATCAGGAGACCTGTCCCTTGCCGGACATCCATGTTGGAGCGCTACAGCCCGCTCCGGTCCCCGAGCAGGAGGAACTGGAGTGGAATTGGAGTGGTTAACGGCATGATCCCCCCAGCATGAGGAGTGATAAATGGCATTACGAAAGACTCTTTGTGACTTGACCTTTTTGGGGGACATCAGGGAATTGCAGCCACTGGTGGGATGATGTTTTATGCATTTTTGCTGCATGCCTGGCCTGGAAACAGAGGTATCCCCCAGGATCCCTTTGAGGCCACAGATTCCCACCTCTGCTCCACCCCACACTAAAGACAAGCTCTTGCAAGCCAGTTTACTTCTTAAAATTCACGTTGCCATAGCAGCTTAGTGCACTGTCTTAAGTCCTCCTCCTTGCAAAACTTTGATCACCGTGAAAACAGAATTATGTTGTTCTCTGGCATGTTCTACATCTAAATATGCTAAASTTCCCATAGTTGGGGCTTCAGTGTCTCTGCAAAGACCTCTTTTATTTCTCCCTCAGAAAAAAAGAATAAAAAATCACAGGTCAAAGGACAGTGTCTCCAGCCTCAGATGTGAAGGCAGCTCCTTCACCTCATAAGCTCCTTGTCCCTCGGTACAGACTGTTCTGCAGCCTCCATCCTCCATCTGGGGGTCCTGCTTGCTGGGGCTGGGTTGTGGGACCTCCTGAGAATAGCAGGGACTTCTTGACAATATCTCCATGAAAGGGGTTGCAGACAAGCAAAGGGTGATCACAACCACCTTACTGCAAGCGAAGGAGAGTCCTGCCACTGGACATTYGGGTGACAGCTCAGACAGGATGCAAAGGTTGGCATTTTGTTAGACTGATTACTCCTTGGAGAGAACATGGTTGGAGACCTACAGGAATGTCCTGCATCTTCTGTTGAAGGTTGTTGCAGGCCCAAATAYAGTGGTCTGGCCAAGGTCCAGCTCTTTACAAGCTCTGCTTTTACCTTAGGAGCCTGATTTTGTTCTTGAATGTCTCTCTGTTGCACTGTGCTGGGAGCAATAGAAGGCACTTTAACTATCATCAAATCCTGTTTCCGTCCGGTGTCCCATTTTTGTGGCTGTGTTCATGCTAGAAAGACCAAAAAGAATTAGATCAGACATAGACAAATTTGCAATAGCAAATTGCTCAGCTTTTGGTTAAGCAGCACATTAACCCAAGTCCCCTTTTGCTGTTGTTGTTAACAAAACSCCATCTCCCCACTCCAGAGAAGACCCTTCCGGACCAGGAT